GGATCCGTGATCCGGATTCGCAGAGAAAATCCTAAAGGATTCGTATTCGAATCGATAATATCAGTCTCGGATCATTTTAGAGACCAAACTAGGCCGGCGCGAACGGCCGACTCAAGCGTTGACTTGTCGCGAATTGTAAACTAAAAACTAAAACAGACAGACTGAATAGAAAACCGATGTGTTTGGCGTTGTGCAGGATTACAGAATTAACAAATAATTTGATATAGATCCTCAATACAGGTAAGTTAAAAAAAATTCTGCATCCACATCCCCATTTAGGTATATTATTTATTTTTCTAATTTTTGCACGATATACAAAATAAATATATGGGCGATATTAGTCTATTGAACGAATATAATATATAATTATATCCATTCTATGTTTCCTATCAATTACAATTCATTACTTAATGTCAAGTTGACAATTTTTTTTATTATTTAAAATGAATTTTAGTTATTAATATAAAATATTGTTAGAGTCAGCGAATTAGGACAGCGCCGCCCCTGTGGTCGACAATACGACGTCTACCCGTTTCAGTGTCCAGGACCAGGAGAGAGCGGGGACTTGACTTTCGACCAGCCGAACGCGATGAAGTGATAGGCCTTATGCCCTTTAAAGACATTCTTTATTTTGTTCCTTAATTAATTACATTTTAAACATTGTTTACGAGATATTTAATAAAACGTTATAAAACCATGTTGACACGTGTTTTATGAAGTGGCTTTACAGGGTGTTATAGTATACAGGGTGCTAAATCGTTTAAAAACAATAATTTTAAAGTTAATTCTTTTAACTTCTAACAACATAATTAAAAATTAATGATTCTTGTGAAAAATCTATAAATAACGGCAATCAACTAGAGTTTTTTATATTTACAAGGAAACTTAAGTAAAATTTAAACAATTTTTATACTTATACGAGTATGTAGTAAGTAGAGCGCGTCACTTAGGTAATCGCCTATATGCTAAATGTGACAGCCAGCTTCGTTTTTCAGCTTCAAGTTTTAAATGTTTTTATTTATTTACGGGTCAAAACTCATTTTACAGAATACCGAGATATAACACAGTATTAGATTCGAGAGCAAATATAATTAATACTACAGTATAACACTGACAGTGATTCGTATCCGTGATCCAAAGAAAAGGATTCGAATCACTTGATTCGAATCCTTTTTTTTTTGAAAAAGGATTCGAACATTGGATCCGTGATTCGAATCACATCTCGTGATTCGGATTCGTGATTCGAATCCATTTTTCGAGGATTCGTCCCAGCTCTGTTACATTGTAGTTTCCTTGAAACATTTTCATCAGCACGTTTTTCTAAAGTAAACAAAATGAGATTTATTTACTGCTCGTAATCGTATACCAAACTTTTGTGTATTATTCCTTTTTTTTGTGCTTGTCAGCAACGGACTAAATTATATTATAAAGTGAATAATGATTTAAATATTAAAAATGCCAAAACGTGCCCATTTTTCTCCAGACCGGGATAAAAATAGTACAAAAAATTGACAAAACAGTTACATGAATGCAGGAACAAATAAAATGAGCCTAGCTCTAAGGAATAATCAACAGATAGGCTGTTTTTATATTTTATCATTAACATTAGATATTGTTTGTTTGTAGGAAAAGGTACATTATCCCTTCTGAATACTTATCGTAAGAATATCGGAAATAAACTATGTACTTTATTTTATAAAAGAATGCAATTATTATATTTAAAAAGTAAAGATCGTATTATAACAATTCCGTTTTGGTTAGTTTACCAATTAAAATTTCCCATCCCAAGCATATATTCTTTAACATCAACAAGTTATGTGTTCCCTTGAAATATCCCATAAATAAAGTCAAGTTTGTTTGGATGTCTCTTTATACAACATCGCTGTTGTCGTGAGATTTTTTTAGTAATTCTATATAAAAATATCTTTTAAAATACCGGGTGGTGATTTCTAAAAGGCAATCCAGAGATTTTATTGAGAAGAAATATTCATTTCATCTTATCTTTTATGATCCCACTGTTTGAATTAACACAATTAACGTTAGTTATTCTTGCATAAGTAGATCGTTAGAAAATCGACTGAATTTTTTGTGTGTATCATCGGCTTCAACTACCAGGGTTATTTCGCCTCGTGTTCTGTGTAGGTTTTGTTACTATTCCCCAGCGCCACTTTAGGAACAGCACTAATTAGAACCCAACAGTGAATGGTCGAGTGGGGAATCCTACCAAGGCATCAGAATTAATTTTAAATAATTAATTTAAATAAAAAAATCCCGGCCAACGGTGGGATTCAAACCTGGGACCCTTGGATCCACAGGCAGAGACTCTACCACTGAGCCACCCACCTTCGTGACTGATTATTGATGATTTTTATATTTTTTGGAAACAGGAAAAACGCGCGTTATCCCTTCTGAATGCTTTTTTAGTAATTCTACAGACGTTTTTCAACAAACTTTATACAAAAATATTCTTTACGATACACGAATTTGTTTTATATCTTATTGATTTTTCTGATAAATTTAACTAATACTCTCAGTAGGACTTATGTGAACGAATGGTTCTCTTTTGCTCGAAGTCACCCCTGCTGTTAGACCCATCGGATGTGTCAGAATGTTTATATTTCGTGGTAAATAATAAGTTTATACAAGTTTTTAAAGTAAAGAAAATAAGGTTTTTTTACTCTTGAGCTAATTTTGTATCCCACCGCTGTCACCAATGTTATAAAAGTTTTTGGTATCTCAATTTATTTTAACTCAACTTTTACAATAACAATATAACTGATAACATTAACTGAAAACTGACGTCAGGATCATCGGCTTATATAGCATGCTTCTCGAACCTTCTCGAATTGCCTAGAATTTTCTAGACAAGTAATGACGTTTTCAGATATTTCTGGACTGTTGTATCTTCTTTTACTCGTACTTTTACTTATGATGATCGCAGCACACAATAGTGTGATGCCTGACATTGCACTTTATTTTGTATTTGTACGTTTCCTATAACGGCCGCAGGCCACTGCAGGGTGCCGTGTAACAATATAATATTACCCTCTTCGTATAGATTTTCAATTTGTTGATATCAAGTTTTTAGTGGGTTTTAGATCATGTACTAACTTTTATCAAGAATAATTTTTTTTTTGGAAATTAAGAAAAGAGTTTTATTTAAATTGCAGACAAAATTAGCTTTTATACGTTTGTGTCCGACATTTTTTGTATCCTGAGGAAATGTTATTTACCAAACCGCGAGGAGCGGGTATCGTCAATGAGCGATTTAAAAAATTATATGCTGGAACCGGTGGCTCTCATTTACAATTCTATTTATTTTTTTAAGATTTGCTATCGTCATAAAAAAGAAAACCATGTGTGTCAACTTATATCAATGAAACGTACAGTTTTCGAGCAATAATTTTGTTGATGCCACATATAAAAAAACACAAAATTTTGGATTATTGGTCAACAGATCCAATTATTGCTAGTAATTTCATCAGCAAGTACATTGCAAGAGACAGGTTCACGCAGCTATTGTGCTACATACATTTCGCTGATAACAACAACCCCCACCCCCTGGACAACAATGATAAATTATGGCAAATAAGAGACATATTCAAAGAATTGAATAGAAAATGTGCAACATTTTTCCATCCATTTCAAAAACTTGGCATTGATGAATCCTTGATATTGTTTAAAGGCAGGCTGCACTTCAAACAATATATACCGTCAAAGAGACATAGATTCGAAAAAAATACGTTTGTGTTGTGCGAATGTGAAACTGGAATTGTTTTGATCTTAAATTGATATTCTTTGAAATGATCCACTAGGTGTCTCAGGTGCGGTAATAAGAAAACTTATGGTGAACTATAAACAAAAGGGACATTTGTTGTATACTGATAATTGGTATACTAGCCCCAAAATAGCCATTTATCTGAACCAGCGAAACACAGGTTTATGTGTCACAATAAAAAAAATAGAAAACACTTTCCAAAATTTTTATATCGTGTGGCACGTGGAACGTGCGAACGCCAAAAGTGCGGAAATTTTAAAGCCCTCAGAGACAAGCGTCATGTGCTGATGCTATCAACATTTCACCAAGGATCCTTGGAAAATAGCGGAATAATAGATCACCGAACTGGTGAAAATATTTTCAAACCAGACTCTGTATTAGATTATACGCAAAACATGCGTATGAATGAAAAGTGTGACATGCAGTTAGCTATCGTGGAGTGTGTCTGGAAATTAATTAAGTGGTACAGAAAACCATTTTTCCATCTGATTGATGTTGCTATGCTAAATGCATATAACATGTATTTAGTAAAAACAGGAAGAGTTTCCCTACGACTAAATATATTTATAAGGAAAGTCGTCCAACAAATTTTAGAAAGGCATGGAACTCTAACTGCTGCTAGACCAGAGAGACAAAGCATGGCAGTAATTGATCGCTTAGCTGCAGTAAATTTCATGGAAAGGCATTCCCCCGCATATGTTTTACCCACTGGATGGGTCAAATTTTAATAAACTTTGTTAAGCCGGACCTGATTTTGAGATATTTTAGTATGTCGTTAAATTGTTCTATAAGTGTAAATTATCGGTGCCATATATCAGAAAAATATACTAAGTGATTAAAAAGTTATAAAGCACGAAGGAAATTTTCCAATTTCAAAAACCACTCTGTAACTCGGTTATAATATTTGAGTTTTTTGTGATTCCCTGACTAACCTCCATACAGGGTTAACATATTTCTCTTTTCCAATAAAACACCCTGTATAACTCGTATACCTATATCTACTTTCCGATAATTTTAGAGAAATTTTTAATAAAATAATTAGAAAACAAACGATTCAAATTTTGAAATAATACAATATATTAATAATTAGTAACTTAAATATTTCCGTTTAATACTTAAAACACTTTCAATCGTATTATACAATAATTTTACCAATAACAAAATCCTTTCAGTAATTTTCCCCTATTATTTTAGAGGCATTCACACGACAGTCGATTCTTACCTGAAGATATTGTATTCGTTTCACGTCATTTATTTCTCCCTTGTCAGAGAAACCATTTTCGGTAATGAAAATTTCTGGATCATCATACTTGTCCTTGACCCACTTCAATACCTTTCTGACCCCATCTGGGGCAACCTAACAAACAAACCATTAATTTAACATTTCATTGTTGTCTTTGGAATTTTAAATTTCGCTTTGTTGCCGACAAATGATATGTGTGCATTCGGAATGACTGATACGGGAAAATGTGAGAATAAAAGTGCTTCAATTTTGGATCATTTGTGTAGAAATAATTTTTGTCGTTCATAATTTAGCATCTGTTGAGTGGACATGAGCGGATTTAAAGAAGATATGACCAAAGGAATTGTTTAAAAGGTTAATTGTAATGGTTGGAAGGTAATTCCAGAGGGTATAAAAATAATGCACTTAGTGGGTAATTGTAAAATATTTCAATTTCTGTAGTAGATACGCAAGTCAGTTTCAAATAAAATTTATGTGGCATACTTTAAAACTATTTCTGAATTTGGAGAACGTTATATTTTTGCTGGTAAATCATTTTTAAAATATATTGAGTTCTGTTCAAAGTTAAAATAGAAGTAGTAGCAGCAGCACTGTCTAGCAGGCTCACTACTGCGTATCGATATCTGCAGAAAAGCAGGGTTACCCGCAGTTAGTTTTTAAATGTATGACTTAAAAATGAAAGTCTGCGTACTGGAAGTCCAAACAAATTACCCGCGTAGTTGCATACCACAGCTGACTGGCGTTATCTCAATAAGTACGAGGTATAGCGTGGGGTGTGCCATCTTTCAGAGGAGATGTCAAGCAGTGGCGGCTCGCTAGATGACACAGGTGACGTGCTGTTTCACCAAAATTTCAGTAGAAATTAAAAAAATCAACTGAATAGCTATATATTTCTTTTTCTGTAACAAATGGGCCTGCATTTTTGTTTCCATACAAATTACAAAACAGAAACCTCCAAAATTATACCTAATTTCGGGGTATCTGGACTACTGCATAAAACAAAAGCTTCAGTTCGTAACATTAATGGACATTTACAAATTTTCTGTATATTTGGAGAGATTTTTCACAGAAGTACTAAATAATTTATTTCAAATGTATCCTAGTAAATTAAATGACTTACAAAGGTTAAAAAATGAGTTACAGTTTATTTACATTGATGAATATTGACATCGATAAATTGTTGGAAAAACTATTTGAGAATCGTGATATTTTCAAAGAAGCTTACAAGGTATATTACTTAGTTTTAACCATTCCATCCACTAGTGTTTTAGTCGAATGTAATTTTTCTTTTTTAAAACAAATTAAAACATATCTACAAAATACAATAACAGAATATCGACTTACCAATAAAAATTTCAATTTAAAAAATACTCTTGGATGAACTTGTACGATCAGAGCCATTTTTTGATGACATAATAGATAACTTTGTAAGTTTAAAGGATAAAAGAATCGACATTATGTGCAAAAAATAAAAAAGTCGATTTTTTTTGTTTTATTTTCAACGCGTCCCTTCATTCAAACCCACGAGCCGCCACTGATGCCAAGCAATCAGTCCCGAGTCCATGAATTTTACACTCGTTAAGAAATCCCTATCTCTGGTTGTAACACCAGAGGATTCGGCTAAATTTCTCGTGTTTAGGGGTAGCGTGCTCAACAGCGTTGGTGTTTAACCTGGTAGTAAGAAATAATTAATAAATTGATTAAAAAAAAAGAATAACGATTTTTTGCTAATTGTTTTGTATTTTTAAACATTTTTAAATATATATTATTTTAACATTTCAATAAATGTAGTTGGGTTATCACTATTGAATGATGAATTCTGATTATTTTCACACACGACAATAATTGCTAATTAAAATTGGTTCTTTAATACTGGATTATTGCAAACTTAGTACTTGAAATACTCACACAATTCCTAATAATCAGTAAGCCTAAGCTCTAAATGCTGTGAAAGATATTAAACACACTGATCACAAGTCCCCATATATGTGGCCCTGGTTACGGCTTGAGTCGATTACCAAAACTGCACAGTTCGGAGCTCGCTTAGACCGTTGAATGGATAGAAGAATACATAAGATAAATATGTGGGAAGGAATGGGTCATACAATTGGTGGCGTAATAAGTCATCTGAGCTCTATTACCACCATGAAATCACCAGAGGAGGCCAGGCAAGCTGGTCCCCAAGCCTGATTAAGGAGAGACAGTAGCCCGATACAAGCCTAATTAAGGAGAATCTGCCGGAAACCATAATGTAAGAGATCACTCTTATGGATACTGACACTTCCAGAATAGGTAATGCAAGGTGTTTCAGCATTACTGACAGAATTACTATTTGGCAAATATTCTTGGATAAAATCTCGCCCCATTGGAATCCATTATTAAATTCAAATTATCGTCTGCTTGTAGTAACGTCAACAAAGTATCTAAAATTAAGTGTTCGCTAAAATTAGGGTCCCGTGATTTTTCTGAAATTTCCGACGGAGTGTCTATAACTTCAATTATTAGAACCTATTACGTTATATAAGGGATATAATGATCCTTCCAATCTCATTTTCCCAAGAAAATGTAGGATGTGGAGGCACTACAAGTTGGGTAGATCGCCCGCTTCTATTACATTATGCTTAGTATAGTGTCCTTGCCAGAATGTGAACTGAGGTTTTATCCTCCTCTTTACAGGATCTGCACTCAATATCTTCTGTTATTTTCAGTTTACCAAATTCTTTGAACTATTTTCTCTACTGTTCTTTTACCATCCAATTATTTTTTAATATTTCCTTATTATTTCTGATACCGTAAAGCGGCTCAGGTCCCACAAAGTTTTTTTATGCTTTTTAATATTTTAATATAATAATTGTCAATTGTAAGTTGCTTTGCGCTACTAGATGAAGAAATTTGTATAAGTTTAACTTTGCAACATTTCATATTATGTATTACACAAATTTTTTTTGTACCTTTTCCCAACACCCAGTATTTCTATTGCAGGCCTAATTATGGCCAAAAAAAGTTGCGTTCTGTTGTATTTATATATTAGTTATTGGTATTGATTTGAAGCAGTTTTATTTTTAATAAGATGAATAGTTAATATTAAATTTTTAAACACAGCGTTTTTAAATAAAAAAGATTTGCACATACCCTAAGCCAATCTGAACTAGTTTTCGACCATTCTTTATCTTGATAAAACGTCACATTCGCATCTTTCATAATTGACGTCTTATTGCTGTTTACCTTATTTTCTTTTACCAAAAAAGTTGTGTAAATGTTTAGCCCAACAAAATCATATGTTCCCTGAACAAAATCAGCTTCTTGTGGTAATAAATATGGTAACCTTGATTGAAGGTAACCCTCCGCTTTGCTTGCATTATCCACACGTTGTCTGACTACATTTGGATAGTTTCCGTCTGTATGAAATATTGGGTTCATTATGGAGCCAATCTGAAGAAAAAGTATAAATCGTATTACTTAGAGTTTTTACATTTTATTTTATATTTTAAAAATCCTGAAGAATTCCCAGGATTTGATCTCATTACCAGGTAAATGTCAAAGAAGCTTCTACGGAAAGCTATTTTCAAAATTATCAATTTCATCAATGCATTATTTAGACTTAATTACCTATTCTTCTAGATATGACAATTTGATAAGTTTTCCACTTACTACTAGCTGAACTACAAAGTTAACTATTATAAGCATCATTTTCCCTACTTTTATTTGTTGTTAATTTTGACCAAATAATCAAAATTTTATCGGCAAAAATAGTGATTTATTCAGGAGCATAATAAAAGATCTTGACGTGATACTCGATTTTAAACTAAATGATAAATAATATTGTAATGTTTTTAATTTCGGCTTTCAAAATTATTTAAAACCATTTTGATTGAACTTATATAGACAGATTTCTTGGTTTTACACTTTTGTGGTCATTGAAAAAAATATTAAACATCTCTCATGTATTTGTGATTGTTTCCCTTGTTGTGTTATATACTATAAACAGTTGTACCTTAAATTCTCGAGCTCTTTCCGCAGCAGCTATATCTTCTGGAGAAAAACTTCCTGGTTCAAACCAAGTAGCATTTACAGCTATTCCTATTTTACCTGAAATAAATTGTTCTCTAAGTGAATTTTAAACTATTTATGTGATTTTTTATTAATTTGTCCAAATATTTTTTTTACTGATCATTATTACCTCAGCAGTTTTCCAAAGTAGTGAAACAAGTTAAAGTATAAATGCGGCATTAATTATATCGGTAATTTCTTTAGTATCTCTTCTGTAATCAGATTGAACACGGGATATTTTTTTACATTAATATCATTTTTAATTTTCCTTTGTACTTCTTTAGAAATAGTCAATAATACTTTTTCTATATCACTAACTTGCTCTTGGTTATCCATTTTAATTTATTCACCTTATCCTCGGTTCGATTGGAAGACGTTCTAAATAGTTTGCAAAAGCATCAACTTTTTATTTGTAACTTTTTGCCCACAACCCATTTTCTGTTCGTATTGGGGGTATGTTTTGAATTGATTTGTTTTTTTTAACGGCTTTCCATAATGAGTAATTAGTGATTTGGTTTCCTGTGAGCTCTCTCAGAAATTTGTTGCTTGACTCCTTTTTATTTTTTTCCCTATTCGTAGCTGTTGTGTAAGTGTTTTTAATTTGCTTTTGTTTTCTTCGGTTCTCATTTTTTGTCACTCTAGCCTTTCCTTTCTTTTGTATTAAATCCCTTATTTATTTGAGATAATTACTACCTGTAGCTTTCATTTATATTAATGGTGCATTATTCCATGTGGTTTGTTCATTATTGACCAAAGATAATTCCGTTTCTGTATTCAAGTCTTTCACTGTCCTAATTGGGAACTTAATTTAATTTTTCAGCAAGTTCAAGTTGAAATATTTCCCAGTATGTATGTTTGTTCGTCAGTGTGGGATTGAGTTACTAGTGATCATATTTTCACTCATTGTTAGGAGCATTGAAGAGTGATCAGATATTAATTCCTCAACTTCTTGTATATTTATAAAATTTGCTGCAATATTTTTGGAAATTAAAAAGTCAAGAAAATCTGGTATTTTGTTAATATCGCTTGGTCACTATGTAGGTTTTCCCGTGGAGCGCTATCTACATTTCTGATCTTTAATAGCCTCGTTCAATTTTTTTCTTTGGTTGTAATTATTGATCCTTAGCAGACATTTTTTGCATTAAAAACAGCACCTAATATAAAGTTTTTACCAAGACTTGACAAGAAATTGTCGTCTTCTCTTTTGAAATTATATGTGGGTGGGAAGTAAGTAGATGCAACAGTGAGTACATATTTTTTGTTTTAACAGATATACTAACCACTTGTATTTCTTCAGTTTCACTTTTTCCTCGTTCATAGTTATGTTAATTTTATTATTAATAAAAACTTCATAAATGGCATTATTATCTGATATCCTTTTGTTGTTTTACCTATACCTACTCTAAAAATGTAATAACTGGCAGAATTGTATATACCAACAAAATATACATTTATTTTTTACATACTTGAAACTTTTTTGTTTTTACAAGAATAATTAAAATAAGTAGTGGTCGAAATATAATGAAAAACCCTATTTAACACTTATGTTTTTAAATGCACGGTTAATTTCACAAGAGTATAACTAGACATTTGTGCCATTTTTATTGTACAAATTTATTTCATCAATATCGCTTTCTATCGCCTATTATTACAAAACTCACATTTCTGCCTGTCACAATCATAGGATTATACAAACAGAAATGTAAATCTTAACTAAAATAATTAACAATCTACATAACACTTTCTGTCGTTAGAAATTTTAATCCTTTCTGAGAAAGTTGAAGACAAGAAATGGAATAAATTGGTATTTTTAAAAAGTTTGGGAAGAAAACCAAAGATTTTATTTTGGAACAAATATTGCTAAACATTTTATTTTAGAAATTCTCCGTTACTGATTTATGATGTTATATTGGGGTCTATGTCATGGGTCATAAAAATTTTGCTGTTATTCATTTTCAAATAAACTTTAGGCATACATCCACATGTTGCGTCTCTAAGGTCACTAATAACTCTTGCTGGTGTTGCAAGAGTCAATTTGTGTTCCATTCGCAAATCCTAAAGGTCATGAATCAATTTGTCTTTTATCTTCATTTATTATTATTTTTCTAGAAGTTTTTTGTTAAATTCTTTCTGTTCGTCCATAATTTTTGCAGCATTGAAGTTATAGGATTAGTACTGCTTTCTATTGTTGGTTGTATTTCATTACTTGCTACTTAGACATAAGGTTTTTCAGCCTCCACTTATGTTTGTTGCCTTTCTACAGTTTTCTCTAGATTTTCTCAGTTCACTTGGTTGACGATGTCTTTCTGATTTGTAGTTTTGTTTCATATGATCTGCAGAGCTTTTACGGTGGTGCTACCTCTATAATTAGCTGAGTGCTTCCCTCCACTATGAATGCACTTATTTACTGTACTTTTTACGATCTTGGGTTTCCAGCACATTTAACACATCTGTGTCCTCTTTTGCAGTAGTCGTGAGTATGCCCATATTCTTGGCGGCTCCATGACAAAATAGCGTAAGGACAAAATAGCGGAGGACAAAATAGCGCAGGACAAAATAGCGCAAGGACAAAATAGCGCAGGACAAAATAGCGCAAGGACAAAATAGCGCAAGGACAAAATAGCGCAGACAAAATAGCGCAGGACAAAATAAGGCAAGGAAAAAAATAGTGCCCAACTATAATTACTACCACTATTTTAATTTACAATATTCGCATACAATTCTAAAGTTTAAGTTAGTAACAATTCAGATTTTTTTATAACTTTATCATCTTTTTTATATCAAATTAAATATTATCAGTAATAATTTAAATGAAAATTTTACAAGATGTCTAATAACAAATTACAACGGTACGCAAGTATACATTTAGTCAAACAAACCACAAAAATTCAGACTAAATACTAAGTAAAGAAGCAATATTTCTTAGCTATTGCATCGATGATACAGTGTCCCAAGTCTTTATCAGTGCTTTTATTTTTTCAATTTAGTATAATATATTTCTTTTTAGAAGCTTCTGGTCTCCGCTCACCGTTATTGAAACGTTGTATGATAATTTCCTAATAATCAATTTCTCTTCTAATTTGACATATTAAACATTGATGGACGATGACAGTCTAAAGTTTTTTGAACGCTTCTACTGAATTATTCGTTCTCGGAAGATCCATTAAAACTCGATCCCACATATTCCAGTGGGTAATTGGAAAAAGAGGAACTTCGCGCGTTCCTAACTTAACCCGACCAATATAATACTTTTCCCAATAAGTCAAAATAGGTCGTAAATCTGGCACACATATTTCAGAGAGAACGTCAAAAACAGAAGCCACTTCTCTTGGAGGCACAAAACATAACGCTAATATCATTTTAGCATTAATACGAAATTGTTCGTTTTCTCTATAAGTTTTCGTTAAATGCAAGTTTTGAATTTTTTTCCACAAGCTTTGTCCCAAATGAAACGATCAACCAATAATCTTCAAAATAGGAAAAACAGAAGCGGCTGCATTACATATCGCTTCTTCAAAATCGAGCATCTTTGTAACTGGTGTTAAATTTGGTTCAATCTCTTTGATTGTTCGAAAAAATCTTACATAAGTTTCTTCGGATTTATTCAATAAAAAAGCATAAATTAAAGGAATTGCTCTGTTGTTGATCAACGCATGTGTAGTAAATACTTGGGTATAAAATTCTGGAGTAACTTTGAATGTACCGTCTGCAAACCAATTTTTGTATTTTTATAAAAGACTTACATTTTCCCTTGTCCCAAAAATTATCATTCTCTTAGGGTCTTTAACACCAGAATCCCATAGTAGCATATGTTTTCCTCTAGTTGTAACTTGTAGATATTCTGGAATCATTATTTCACGTAACGATCTGTAATTAGTGTAATGTAATATACATTTATTCCTTTGGCGATGAATATTTTTTTGTAGAGATGTATATTTCGGCAGTGAAAATGATGCGAGCAGAGACATTCCTTGAGTTGCTTCTTCAATTACTTCTCTAGCCTTAACTCGTGTTTGTTTTGCTTTTTCTCTAATTTTCTTTACTACAGTACGGGCATTATTATCCTCTACATCAGGTGCATGGTTATGCATAGTTATAATCTTTGGAATCTCTTTAATTGTCTTCACACGTTCTTTTCACCATACATTAATGCATTTTCATGATTTCGATTCATCAACATTGACTCTATCTAACCTGTAGCGATAGATTTCGAATATTAAAATATATCTGCCTCTTTGTGATTGAATGAATTCCATATTTAAATGACTACTATTTCAATATAAAAGTCAAGTACCTATATCCAAGGAAACCAAATTATCCAATAATAAAAGAGATGAATCGTAGTTCACCATAGATTAGGTAACAGTTAGATGGATCGGTCAGACCATAGGAATAACGTGTGAGAGAGACGGAGCTACAGCCCAAACATTCATTACACAGGCGTCGCTAAAACAGTATTCGTTACGCATTATTTCAGGGAATTAAATTAATAAAAAAAACATTTTTTGTTCGTTTGCGCTAGTTTTCCCTTGTTAGTAATCTAATTAAAATAAAAAAACAACCAATTTACCTAACCTGTGCGGCCTGGTGCCATTGCATGTTGCACTGGCACAGGTTAGGTAAAACAATTAAGTTTTTTTTTTTTTTCATTTTAAATAGAATACTAGAATATTTTGTTCTTGCGCTATTTTGTCCTGTGCTATGTTCTTGCGCTATTTTGTCCTGCGCTGTTTTGTCATTGCGCTATTTTGTCCTTGCGCTATTTTGTCCTTGCGCTATTTTGTCCTGCGCTATTTTGTCTTGCGATATTTTGTCCTTGCGCTATTTTGTCTGCGCTATTTTGTCCTTCGCCATTTTGTCCTGCGCTGTTTTGTCATGGAGTCATTCTTGGCATCGTTTACACTGAGGTAATAGGCTTCTATTTGTACTCACAAATAAAGTATTCCCTTAATCCTATCTTCATATTTGTCTTTGTAAAATACTAAAGTGAATAGTGGGTGCGGTGTTTTGTCTATTCTGCTCAGTTGCTGACTACTATTTTAAAACTATTTTTTAGGTCCTCTTTAATTTGCTCTGGTCGACAAAACTGGTTCAAATTTTTGCATGACTACCTGTGTTGGTTTTGACTGTCTATTTTCAGATTAAATATTATTGGTCTTGACTGTTTCTTTTTAAATAAAAACCAATCCATTTCAACATTGTTTAGCGCTTGTGTATGAAATCGATATGTAGTTTCATTATCTACATTCATTTTCAAATTACCTCTAAATACCGTAGTGGCTTGATACTGTTTTTTGTTTTGTATAAAGCACTCTAACAACTTGACATATTTTTTTGGTGTGTTAATTACAATTATAATGAACACCATACTGACAAATATTTAATATAATTATGAAAAAATATACACTGTGGATCGTAAGTTAGGAAAAATTGAAGAAATGAACAAATTGATAAATTATCGTGATTGTAAAGAATGAGTGACTCGTTAAATATACAGGGTCTCATTAAGAATAGGACACAGAACATCTGCAGATTCTTTGATTAAAAATAATTTAATGAAATATGTTTAGATAAAATGTTACTCCGAAATACACGGTGATAAAATTTAAAATTCAAAAAATAATATTGGCTATTATATTTTTATTTTTTAGTATAATTTTACCAAATTTTTGGTGCATTACGATACACATATTAGCAAAACAATCAGTTAATAAACTGTGCCAGTGGAGTACGGCATGGATAAGTAGTATCTCATCCCGTCTAAACTTAATGCCACTGTCCAAAAACCTATTTGGACTACATTTTTGCATTTTTTATGTTTTTTTAAATAAATCATATACTCTTGTTGGACACTCGTAAAACATTGGTTTTCGAGATATTAACATCTTAGGTGAATTTTTTCTTTTTAACTTAGTTTTTAAGTTTAGAATTATGGATTTTTTTATAAATTTACCACAAGAGTACATGTTTTTGGAGAGTGGAGTAAAATTTAGAAGAGGTGAAGGTGTTTCTTACCCATGCCTTACGCCACTGGCAAAGTTTATTTAACTGATTATTTTTCTGATAGGTGTTTCTTATGACACCAAAAATGTTTATTAAAAAAAAAAATCCAAAATTTCAAAATTAAAATGAAGAATATCCACTTTTGAGTGTAGAGATCTCGAATTCTCAATCACTAGTAATGCAAGATATTTTATTTCTTTCGATTTCGAGTACCACCACAAACCATACACCTAGTTTAAAAAAAAAACAAAATTATTAGTTAAATCTATTCTTCTAAAGTTTTCCTGTTTAAATTGGTCGTTAAGTTTTCTCTCGATATATGGACCATATATGGACCATAATTGGGGTGCTTTTCTACTCTGAGACTCTAGGTCATGGAGGTCTCAATAAGTACCAGTTACCTCTGCCTCTCCTCGTGCCAAGCATAATAGGACGTTGCACCTCTGCTGGTTCCATACTCCAGGGTTTGCAATATATTCATTTGGTCAACGATTTCAATCCTTGGGGCCGTTTCTGTTTTTATTTTTAGATTACCAAGCGCGTCCAGCTAGCACGATGAACATAATGCATATCCGCCGGATTTGGATTGTCTATTTCAATATTTAACACCACATTGAAGCCCTTTCCAAAAGCTCACTTGTCGACCCAGTCGGATGTCATTTTAATTTAACATTTGTCCTACCTGTTTTTTATTTCTGATGATGGTCACTGACCGAAACTATTTGCTACCCCTGTTTTCAATACTTAATAAAAACAATTGTAGTTAAGATTTGGAATATTTCCTTTCCTTTACTAATATACCACAGTTGAGATATGGAAAACATTCTTATTCCTAAAGAGGTTTAGTTTAAGTGTCTTATATTTAATATCCTTCAGTTGTTCTATATTCCATTGTTAATAAGGCACCCTTGTGTGTTATTAGCAACTACCTTGGTAACTCCTATCTACCCCTAACGTATGAATATAGATTAACGAATCAGAGTTGAATCATCCAGAAAAGAAATAAAGTTAGCTTAAAGAAATGATTGGATAAAAATAATAATTTTCTTTAAATGCATACCTCAAGGTTAGCATATTATGTAGGATGAGAATGTCTGCCACATATAAAAGTCTGATTATGTTAATAAAAAATAATTAAGTTACCCTTTTGCATTATCCTAAATTCCGCATCATACAAATGGTAAACCTTAGCATGTGCTAAAAGCATTACATGTTGACAGAGATAGTTGGCAATTCCAGGCTCGTTCAAAAATGGTGGATAAACATTGTCTCCGTATCCAGAGTAATCCATATCTAAGGTTATCCAGTGTTTCACTCTATCACCAAAGTAACTAAATAGAATTCTAGCGTAGTCCTCATAATAGTAAGCCATATATGGATTAGTCCAGCCTCCTAAACGTTGTAGACTCATTGGTAGATCTTTTTGGTACATTGTTACCATTGGTTGGATATCTAAAACATATAATTGAGAAACAGTAATATATGCCAAGAGATTTATTTTATTTATTTATTAAAATCCGGAATAAAGACTATACTATCTTATTCTTTGAGTTCTTTTTATTATCTCACGCCTTGTTAAAGTAATGTACTAAAGTTTATTATTAAATTATGTTAGATTTATTGACGTTTAGAGTCAGTTTGTTAGCAACGTACCACTTGAATGAGGATGATACTGCTGGCTACATCCTCATCACAAGAGCCAGTTCTAAGACTAACCACAGCTCAAATTTTTGGGTTTTAATACTAGCTGCCTCAATAAAAAACTGAAACTTAGGTATACGTGTATAATACTAACATGAACATGAACACATTAACAATTATTGTATCAACAAACTTTTCTTTCTACTAACTAATATAGGGTTTCCATTTCAAGATAAAAAAAACAGAATACAAGAATAATATTGAATCTTTTTCATTGACTTCTGCCAAAAAAACAATTTGCGTTGCGACCGAATTCCTAGGCCCCAAAATGCTTGTGTTGGACGAATGTCGCAATACGACACACGCGGGTTGCTCCATAGAAATGTGTCGTCATATATTTATAAACAATCATTTAAACTGTCGATGGTATAGAATAATTTTAAATCATTATCATTAATATAGTAAATATTTAATAATTAATATTATTTAGGATATGGTCAGAGACATCCCAGCAAGACGCGTAACTCCATGTATTTTTTGTTTGTTCGGTAAAAGTTGTTTGGGTGATTGTAACCACAACCAGTCTATGATGGCGCCACTAGTAAATAGCGGGAAAATTTAAAAATGCTTTAGGGCGGGGAATTCAAACATGGCTTCAGAAATAGATAGTTTTTCTATACAAATTTACAGGAGAAACAAAAACTATTGTTTCACTGTATATTAAAAAATGTAAAAGCTTCCAATAACATTAAATTTTTTATCATATAAATAATCATTTCAATAAAGGAAGTTTTAATCAGTTTAATATAAGCAGTGAACAAAGTTTTTATTACTCTTGTAAATTTTGCTAAAAAACCTTGAAAATGTTATTGATTATTAAACATTTAAACTTGGAAAAATAATACACCAAACTCTCTTTTGTAAGGTACAGAAAAACAAACTACAATTGTTGCTACGTTTAGAAAGTACCTCGTATCATTTTATGACAAATTACAAAGAAAGTCACAGTTGTTATATATTCATAATATAAAAAAAGTAAGAAATATTTTATAAAGTATAGAGTATATTATTCTATGGTTTCTATTAAAATAAACAGTCATAACATATCGATACCTTTTTGCCAGACTAGCATAAGTGTCATTTGAACAGATGTCGCTTACTATAGTCTGGCAAAAAGATATCGATATGTAATGACTGTTTATTTAAATAAAAACAATGGAAACGAAACAAGCACACACATAAACTCGCACAAATGTATAAGGCCCGACTCGAGTAAGTTCCCATCCTGTAAACTGGATCAAAACCTGCTAGACCCATTCCGTACACCTCCCTGCTAACTCCTCTTAGAGTCATCAAGATCAATAGATTTATATGCCATGCCTGCTAAAAGGGAATGAAGGATGACATACTATCATCGTTTAAACAGGACGTTGCTGACGGCTTACCCCTGTTATGTGGTCTGTTTGTGTATCTTGTGCGTGTGCATTCCTGTTGTGTGCCTAGTCATGTAAAAGTTTTCCTAGTCTCCTTATTTATTGACTAGGTGGACCTTCTCCAACTAGTCGTCTAATCTATTCGATCTGTTTTGCAGCAGGAAGTACTTTTCAAACATAGCAAATAATAATAATAATAATAAACACTATTTAAAGATGAATACATTTTTGTAATTTTTTTATTGTTGTCCCTTGCTTATTTTAAATACTTTCTTAATTATAGATTACCTTACAATGTTTGAATGAATATAACATTTTTTCCATGTAAAATCTAATTTCGAATTTTACTGTTTTTTATTTAATTTCATTTGAAACAATTAGTATATTACAATTTATTATTAAGGAAATCTTCTAAGAAAGTTATAGCAGATCCTACTTAAACTACTGGTTGTTCTGCAGGATAAATTAATTTTTCTTGAAATTGATCTCTCTCTAAAATCCAAAACCGACCTGATGTCCCCAAATTAATTTTCCAATGCATCCAGTATTAAAATTCTGCCCTTTTGTGATTCTTTTTTTTTTTCTTTGTTTAAATGACTACAATTTTCTAATAGCCACTAGAGTGGCTATTAGAAGGTGTATGTAAGAAATATCCAATTTCAAAAGTCCTTTGGCAATACTACATGTGCAGAAATTTTTTACTCAGCATACATTTTACTTCTTTTTCAGTAGGTAAGAACTTTGTGCTGCCATTAAAGCTATCGAGACATTTGATCTACCTACTTAATAAACAAAAGTAGCTGTAACAATGAATCTCTGTCCCAATTCACCTAATATAATTATAGCTTTTTTGTAATATATTATTAAACACACACATTATACAGTCGTTTTCCTAATAAATTAGAAATTACTTACCTCTAGAAAGAAACGTGTACAAAAACGCGAGTTTGGTTCCAGAAATTGCTTTATGCAAAAAATAATATGCGAAAATAAACATTACCCCCTCCCCAAAGAAAATAAATTAAACATCAAAATCAGACTCAAAGAAATAAACGGGGCCCAAATTAAATTAATTTTGACAAAATGCACACGTTCATCACAACATTCATAACATTGTCAGTTGTCAGTTCTAATCTATACGTCGACGTCAAAAAACCAGCAACATCAGCGACCTCTAAGATTGGTGTTAGTTTTATTGGAGAGAGATAAATATATGTAAAGATTAATGTAAAAGAGACAGAAAGTCATATATGTAATTTAAATGGACCACAGAACAAATTTTCCTATTAAGTTACACGTCTCTGTTGTCTCTGATATGGTTGACAAAAATGTTAAATAGTAGAGCACATAAAGTAAAACTCTAATAAACTAACCTTGAGGGTTTGTAAAAAAATATATGATTTAAGACAGATATTGAACAAAGTGGGTACATTTAAGGTAAGTGAGCTAAATATTGCCATGATAAGACTTATTATTTTTTATTAAATACACATTTAATTGAAACAAGTAACAAACATGTTTATATTCTAATTTCTAAATAATTATAAAAATAAAGCAAACAAAAAATACATATTCTTCTTTTTTTTAATCGATTGCCAACTGGCACTATTTGAAACCTATACCCTTAATATTGCCACAGTACTAGCAATAAAAGGAACTGGTATTGTTTTAATGAAAATAAGTAATAAACATTTTAAGGAGGTCCTTTCGCCACACCTCTCGCCTCAAATGTTAAAAAAAGTTATTAGATTATGACTAAAATTAATTTTTTTCTAATAGTTGAAGTCCTTATTTATCTAATATTGAACTTTTAACTATACCTTACCTTGCAAATTTTTGAGAATTTTTTTTTAAAAATGTGAGTATTTGTACAGTGCCTCACGAGAAAGTAAGTCCTCAACAACAATTCTCAAATTATACTATTATTTATTGATTAGATGGAGTAGAAAAAAACTAAAAATAAGGTTTTTGAAATATTTAGATTTTGTTTTATACAATAAAATATATATAGTAAACCGTGGAACTTATTGAGAAATTAATATTAAAAAATCACAAAAAATTTTCAAGTAACCTGGGACCGTTTTCATCAACTGTATAAGTTAATGGCTTATTTACGTTGTTATCCTCAACGTATTCTAATTATTGTAAAACACTTTCTTCAGCATGCGTTATAAGACTGGATGAAAATGCTGATTCAGGTATGATGTCTGGGTTAAAAGGAAATATGCCACTCGCTTTAAATCTAGAGATTATGTTAGCTGGTGTCATCGCTTTCAACCAAACTTTACTAAATATTTCACCAAATCGCGTTTTTGGTAATTTTTCCCAGGTTGCGTTATTAAAAAATTTAAAACTAGCTGATCCCAAAAAGACTCATAACTTTTAAAGACTACTTTATCTATAGGCTGCAGTTTATGTGTGGTGTTACTTGAAAAACAAAATAAAATAACACTATAATTTTCTGCAGCTTCAACAATACTAATGTTCAGTTGCGATTTTGCACCATTGAATATCAGGAGTGTAGGTCCTGTATTCTTATACTTTATAAAATATGCTAGTCATGAAATAAACGCATTATTTGTCATGCTCCCTTTCTGTGTCATCATCGCAGTTGATCCTGGTGGTAGGTGATATGATCAGTATACTTAGGCTTTAATCTCTTCCCTTTGAAAAGAATAAATAGTGGGATGGCTTGCCCCAGGGCATTTCCACATCCCACAATACTCACATTTTCACGATGTTCAGGAGCTGTTAAGTGGATACGTTTAGCACCTTTCTTGGTCAATACCGTTCGCTGTTTATGAGTCATTAGACGGCAACCTTTCTCGTCCATATTGTAAACGTTTCCAGGTTTATCAAACAATTCCAATTTAATGAATACTTCCTTAAATTCCTTAAAATAATCCCTTACAATAAATCGATTAATTTTCTGTGCTACTGCTGGATTCATTTGCTGAGCCTTCCTTCTAGCTACATCGGGATGTCTTGCAAAGAATAATTTCAGCCATTTCCTTCATGCTAATTTAAATGTACCAGAAAAAGGATAAGGAATGTTTATTATCATCGCATACGAAAATAAACTTCTTTCTGCTATTTTACTGGTTATTTTCATGCCCACCTCTGCTAGTTTATGAATTCTGCCAACTAGATTTCTACTTGTTCAAAACTTAAAACCCATTTAATGGAAAATAATACTGTGGTATTTAACCTACATAGATACAAACAATACATTAATTATCAAATCACAGACATCATGTTTTTAAAGCTTTGACCTCAACTAAGCTTTAAAGATGCTCAGGGAAGGACCTATAAAATCAATGCCCTGTTCGCCAAGAATATTGGCTGTTCTTGATAAGCGAGAGACAGAAGTGTGATATC